ATTTTATTTATTTTTATTCTATTTTTCTTGTGTTTTTCGTAATTCAAGGATGAAAGGGGAACTGGTTGAATTAGAGCTTTTGTTGAATACTTTTAGATAAAGCTTTGACATGTCACGTTCTCAAGAAACATAAATCAGGACAAATCAATTTTCAGATACTTACAGAATTTCAAAATTGTGTTAGGGTGTGAATAATTAGTTGTTTTTGTGACTGTGTATTTCAATTATCTACGTCCCTGTAGCCTAACATGCCAACAATGAGATGTCATAATGCATGCAGAAAGCCGGGGGAGCGACTTCCAAAGTGAATGGGGCACCAACAAAAATAGGGCACTTTCTGGTTTAAAAAGTTTATTATCAGAGGTGAAAAGGGGCACTTATGAGAATGAAAAACGGGCACTAATAATAAAGGGAAATGTGCATTTGTTGAAAGAAAATGGGCACTGATCAGATTTTAATAGGGGCATTTATCCGAGGTGAAAGGGAGCTTTTACGATAAGGGGGAAGTGGCTCTTATTAAAAAGAAAAAGAGGCACACGTTAAAATAAACAAGGCACTCATCAAAGATGAAAAGGGGCACTTATGAGAGTGAAAAGGAACTATTTTCATAGATGAAAAGGGAGCATTTATTAGAAGGGAAATATCTTTTTTAAATGGGGGCACTTATCATAAGGAAAAGGGGCACTTATTAAAAAGGAAAGGGGGCACATGTGAAAATATAAGGTGCGTATATCCGAGTTAAGAAGGGGTCGTTATGAAAAGGGGAAGGGGCACATTTTGCAAAGGAAAAGGGGAAATTGTCAAAGCAAAAGGAGAGGTTCTTGTAACTGAAAAGGGAAACTTACTATATAAATTAAAAAGGCACTTATGAGAACGGAAAATGGACACTTATTGCAAAAAATGTGAACTTGTCAAAGGAAAAGGGTACGTGTCAAAATAAAAGGGGCAATTATCAGAGGTGGAAAGGGGAAGGGGCACATTTAAAAATTAATAGGGGCACTTGTCAAAGTAAAAGGTGCACTTTTCCTATGCAAAAAGGGGCACTTCTTACAAAGTTAAAGGGGCACTTTACCTATGTAAAAGGTGGCACTTTTGGGGTACTTGAGAAAGTGGGGGCTACTGTGCCCCCTGCCCCCCCCCCCCCACCCACCCCCGGGAGCACCGCCTCTACTTGAGGATTCATTTTATCCGCGAATATGTATATATTTCTTAAAAAAACAATACCTGGTTCATGTTTTATATAGACAAAAAGGTATACACGTTGTATTTGTGTCCTCCGAATTACCTCATTTTTCTGTTGAGCTGGAATGGGGATGATGTAAAAGGTATCTAAAAAGTACACAGACATTAAGTTGATTGAAATTAATATCTACCAACAAAAATAAAAGAACGGGAAAAGGGGAACGAAAAGAAAGAGAATCAAATCTGAAAATCTAAAACACCAACAGAAAAGGTCGACCGGGAGGGGGCGCTAAACTACTTATCTTAGCAGTGGAGAGAAAAGATGAGTTCGATGGGTCAGATCGTGGAAGAGAGCTATAGCATTAATTGCCGTTAGAAGAAAATAATGGTTGTATTCGAATTTGTTTGGGATAGCACAATTACTTTCTTTAATTTTGAAATCACATTAAAAGGCTATATGGATACACAATACACAAACAGTATAGCCTACATGGGTATGATAAATGGTTCACAACTTTTGCTTGTGGTATAATATTTTTGTTGTTGTGCACGGTGGTTAGGGGGTAAGTTAGTTTTCTTCATCATTCTTTTTTCCCCACTGCACTACTTGCGCCCTCTATGTAGCAAACATTCATAATCGGTGACCATTGGTCCCCCATGGTCCCCTTCTTCTTATGTTAATTGAGAGCTGATTTGATGAGATAACCACCTGTCAGTGACCACTGACCATGCAGGGAAGTCTAATCCCTCCTGACCAAACTAGTGCAGAGGGGTTTGCATAAACCTAAGTATAATGCAAGTTTTGAAATTATGGATTAATTTCATGGACTTACATTAATAGAAGAAACTTAAAAACTTATTTCCCAAATTGTCATTCTACCTCGTCTAGATTATGCGGACATAATGGCAGTCTTCCTATGAAAAATACATCAATCAATTGCAAAAGCTATCCTGAAAATAAAGCCTCAATATATTTTTCTGTTACTTCAATGCATGAAATACTACGATGGGAGACTTTGAAATCTAGCCAGATATTACATTTTAGAGGAATGATGTTTAAAATCCTCCATGACACCAAATTATTTAACTATAAACATATTTCATATAGTACCCCAAGAATATCAGCTACGAGCCTACGATACAATCCCTCCCCAAACCCGATCAAACAACTGCAAACGCATTTTTTTCCTTCTACAAGCAGGGCCGTAGCCAGAGTTTGATGTTTTGGGGGCACATAATGTAATTGATCGATGTCCTGGGGAGGGGTCTAAAAAAGTTCAACAGATCTTGGAAATTTTGGGGGCATGTGCCCCCCCCCCCCCGTGGCTACGGGACTGTCTATACAAGGGACTGTTATATAGTATCATTCCCCAATATATTCGCAATTGCACATCTCTATTTAAACGATCTCTTTCACAACTTATTTAATTAATACCGTAAGACCTTTATAATATTGTTTACCTTTAAATATCATTGTTCTTGTTGTTATATTTTGTCTTTGCATGTCCCCCCCCCCCCCATCTTCTGCTTCTTTTCCCGCTATACTTCTTCTTCTCTTTATACGGTGCCCATGGAAGACGAGCAATTTTATTAGCCAGCCGTCTGTTTCTCTGTTTTTGAATATTTCATGTAAACTGAATAAATTATGTATACGTTTATAAACTTTGTTATTTTTTGTCATTTTCTTTTCATTGTAGCCCTATATTCTTTTAAAATGAAGACTATAATAAAAAAAATAAAAAATGGGTGTATAGTGTTTTTTACGATCATCTAACGGGATTCCCTGATGCATGATAAACCCTTCATCTTGTTAGAAGAAATGTTACAGGGGGCTCATGGCTGTAGCCCCCCCCCCCCCAAAAAAAAGAGAAGAATATTTTTCTTTTTCGTTTTGTATTTATAAGCTATTCTGGTTAAAAGCGCCATCTCATCTTTGTGTAGCGAATTACGTACATGTAATTTTGTTCACATTTAGTACAGTTTTACAACAAGATATCAGCAGGCACGTAGGGGGTTGAACTTTTTAGACCCCCCCCCCTTTTTTTTTTTACCTCGATCGATTACATGTATGTGCCCCCCCTCCCCCCCCCCCCCCCAAACATCAAACTCTGGCTACGTGCCTGGATATCAGTACAGAATTAATGAAATAAATGTTTGTTCCCTCGACTCACTCGCTCGAAAATTTAGAAACGGAAACGTTATCTTCAAGAAAAATCGTCAGCCCCTAAAAAACGGCTGGACACATTATTTTATTCCCATTTTATGGATGAAAATTGAATATTATAGCAAACGTCAATCTTACCCTATGAACGCATAGTAATAAACAAGACTCTATAATACAAACTGGTAGAACCTTCATTATATGTTTTTCATTATATTAGAGTATATAGGCCTATAGGCTTAATCCATTAAAGGGGTTTTATTCACCGTCTGGCATATGGCCCACCTACTAAAAGAAATGCAGTCAAAGAACCTTTAAAGCCCCACTGTCCTACTTGTAGCTACTTGCTCCCTCTATATAGAAAACTTCCCCAATTGGTGCCTGTTGGTCCCCCATGATCCTCTATTTCTTATGTTATTTGAGAGCTGAGTTGATGAGATAGCCACCTGTCAGTGACCTCGATGTGTGGTCTAACCCCTCCTAGCCAAACTAGTACTGACGGTCTTTAAAGAAAGGAGAGGGATGGAGACGGGCCGTTCTCCAAGGGGGCGGGGGAAGGTCGCTGTATGGGTCGCGAAGCTGGGCCCTCAAACCCACGAAGATGTTTGTTTGTTTGTTTGTATATTTTTTTAAATAAATAGTTTATCTGTGCATTCAAACACTTGGGGAAATATGCCTTCATATCTAGCTGGATAGACCACTCTGTATGAGAAATATGGTTTCTAATGTCTAGATGATGAAAAATAGTACTATTACTGATTTTAGACATAGGGCCTATCGGCCTACCTTTCGAATCCAATTTATCTTGACAACTAAAAAGCTTGTAAGAGGCTTGCACCGCATGGCAACAAATAATGTATACACAGTTGATTCCAGAGTCCTCTGTTCCTAAGCAGGTAATTGGAATGACTGGGTAGGCGTAGGCATGTTTAAAGGAGAAAAACATGCACAGCTTATACCGTAGATCCATAGTCGAACGGGTCTAAATTTAGGGCTGGTGAATTATTAAAGTGGCTTGACCCATCCATAACCACTTTCCTCACATTTAAACGCTTCTGTTTTAGTACATTCTAAAACATGTAGTGTGAAAAATTAACAAGTTTTAATTCACCAAAAAAATATTTTTCCTGTGTCACTGTCAACTCCTCCGGATGAAAGATAATAGATTAGGAGATTTGACAGATGTTTGACAGCTAGTATCAAAAGCAGTCAACGAAATTAGACAAAACCGAAACGGGCATCGAGATTATTTTTGGTGCAAGTACATCAAAAGGCATAATTCCACACAAACACTGAAACACATCTCTTTCTCAGTTACAAACAAATAATACAGACATGTCGTAGCAAGTACTATTGGAATGCATGTAGTTGATTGATGTTGACGTGTTGAATGCACATTGAGCCTTGTTTACATCTTGACTCACATTGACTCATCACCGTAAACTAATGATTACGCAAATAAAATAATCCTCGTAATTACGCCAATAACTCCCACTCAGTTTCAAATATAATCTACATGGGTGTTTTAAAGCACTATACAGTTCATGTTGATACGTAAAAAATAATTATGACTGATATTACTGATATTATATAAGTAATGTTTTTTAGCCGATCAACTCATACATGCGGAGTGATAAACGTCAGCTCCGCCCATTCAACACACGTGGGTAAGTCGCGTGGCGTTGTTTACACCGCCATATTGCACAGAAATAGGGAATATTCTGTACATTCTTCGCTCGAGATCGAACATTCGTATTCACAATGAGCGACGATGACCGGGACATCGACGTTGAAAGTGACGTAAGCTAAACTCCTCTTAATCGAATTACAAGATTATGCCCATCGTGTGCTCAGTAAATCAATGTTAGTTGTATTTTTGTTCATTTTTGCAGGACGAATTAAACGATGGTGATCTGGACAATCTCACACAGGTTGGTACATGTACTGGGTACCATACATTGGGATCATAGTATAATGTGTACGGCGTGTATATACGCTGGGCTGGGTGAATTATATAGCTTGTCAACGCACTATTCACACGTGTGAAACGTGTAGCACAGTTGGGTGTATTGTCATGTTTGGGATTGTGTGTGTAAAGTAACGTAATGCCGTAGCCGGTATTGGTCAATGCATTAGGCGGTTTCGGCGTTCAATTTCTTTCACAAGCCGTATTCAGTGACCTTTTTTAATATATCATGATGAATTAAAAAATGTAAAGGGATTTACCTTAGTAATTTAGTGGTATGACAGACAATAGTCTACATTTTTAAGTTGGTATCGTGTCGATGAGTCATTATCATTTGATGTTTTCATCGCTCTTGATCTTGCACTGAACAAAGCATTACTGAACAAAGATTTCTGTCGAGTGTCAACAACAATGATCATGCACTAGTTTAATTCTGCTTCAGGAAATGTGGGGGAGAAATAGGAAAGTTATACATTTTCACTCTCTCGCTATTGTATACATGTAGGTGTGTGCTCTTCAAATTGACTGAATCTGTATTGTGTCTGTCATGTCGTGCAAGTTAGTTGGGGACAACTTTCCCATTTGTTCCAACACACAAAATTACTAAAATTTCAAATTGTTAAAACATATTGCTTGGGATTGTCTTTTCTTTTGTAGAGGACCTCTAATAATGTACTCTCCATAATATGTTTTGAATAGCATCCCAAGAGACAAAAAGAAATTAGTGATATATTTGTACACAACAAATGGGGAAAGTTATCTATTATTGTGTCACAATCCACTGACACAATTGCCAATCTGAGATTTGCATAGCTGTGATCTCATATTTATATCAAACGTTCTTAACTTTCTTGTGATTGATCCAATTTATTTCAAACTTTCACTATTCTCTTTCTCTAATTTTATTGCTTTCATTCAAATGTTCTTGTTACACGGGTTGGATTGCCAGTAAACATTCTTCTGACATTTTACTGGCCAGGGGCCATCGGGCCATCGGGCCAGTGGTTGGGTAAACATTGTCTGGCACCAAAAAAAAAAAGAAAGAAACAATGTTGATTCTGATACCTTTGCTTTTATGAGTATTTGCTCAAAATTTAGGACATACCTACCGGTATTCAAAATCCTTACACTGTTAGATCTATTAACAAAAATATGACAGAATAAGTGCTCAAGCTTCTATTTGATAGAAAGCCCATTGTTGCATACAAGTATTTGGCGAATAAAGTTTAATAAGTTTGAAAACACTTGTGCTCTGGATTCCTTCCAAGATTTTAGACAATGACAAGTGAAAAATTGGATCCCGAGTATGGATCACGGCTTAAGGCAAATTGAACGCTATTTGTGTGAATTCTTGGCAAACTGATATTTTCATATTTATTCATTTTTCTTTTAACCTTGACTTTTCAAAGAAAGAAATTTGCACACAGATGGTTTACTTTGAATATTGATTGTTATTTCTTTGTACTTACAAGAAAATGAAAAAGAGAAAAGCTTTCTCTCTAGGAATATGAATTGACCTGTAAAGTAATCACTGAGTTGAAAATAAACTGTTGATATTATTACAGCTGATTGCATTCTGTTCACTTCAGGTTTAATTCATTTTAAATTGGGGGCGGGGGGGGGGGGGGGGGGGGTATATTACAAGTGATTTGATAACCGGCACTTCTGTTATATGAGCTTTGGCTGCTGTGCAATTTTTCAGGTGCATTTGGAAAATAATATTTTGTGTTACAGAAATTTGCAAGGCTACAGTAAATACTGTAAAGTGGCCATTTAAGAAGGGTTTTAACAAACTAATTACTTGAACATGTTGCATACAAAGAATCATATTAATCTACCGGTATTTATATACCCTAACAGAATAACAACTAGGAGATTGTATTTCCAGGATAAAAAAAATCTTGAAATTTCATTTGAACAATTTTCTGCATTACCGGTAGTCATTGTGAAAATTCTTTAGAAAGTGCGATTTCACATTGATCAGTGTCAATTTTCTATTGCTGATAGCTGCCCTCGTGCCTGAGTGGGCGTGGCCTATAATGAGTTCCACCTGTCAGTCATATTATGAAATGTCAGACTTCTTAGCCCCCACCCCCACCCCAAGGCTAATGAGGTACATTATAAAGCTCTATTGGCTTGCTCTCTTCCATGTAGAGGCAATTATTCCAAAGTCAAGGTTTATCTGTTTGTGTTGTTTACTGTATACGTGGTGACGAAGGACATCAAATTTTAGTGTGAATTTTGGCAGGCTTTACATTTGTGTATATTGCTGATGGTGTGTTTTTCCGTCACCAATGCTTTCTGGATGGAATGCATACCTGCATAAAAAAAGTGTGAAGGTTAATTGCAGTGCTTTTAGAATATTTGACTAATGAGGGTCAGAAATAACATTGAACAAGATGTGTTTTTCATTTGCACTTGGATGTACGTGTATTGGGCAAGTTGTTCTTGGATTCGCTTGATCAAACATGAAATGCACTTTTCTCTACATGATAAGTTCAAGAAATCTTTTAATTTCTTATTTCAATTTTTTAATTGTTATAGATTCATTTGATACTGTATTGTATTTTTCAATTGAGCAAGTTAGATTATCGTTTGCTCTGGTCATCGATGTAGAAACATGAGAGGAGATGGCATGTGCCCTGTCTCAAATAATGAGAAAAGGGGGGGGGAAGAGGAAAAGGGACAAGGGGGTGACGGTGTGGTAACATGAAATAGAAAATAATCCTCCCTTCCATACGCATTTCATCCATCCAATGAATCTGCTGCCCCCTTTCTCCATGACTTCAACACCAGTGCCTACTTTGTGTCTGGCCCCAAATGTCGAGCCACTGGCTTTTCAGGTGCTTCCCCGGTCTAAATACATGTAGCTTCTTTCTCTCTGTGTTTATGTAATACATGTAGGTGTATGGTGCTGTGGCAGCATCTTGTTTCTATTTTGATATTTCTTTGTAAGATTAACAAAACAAAAAATTAAAAGCTAATTTCAAGTGTCAAATCAAGTACATGTATATGTATATACTTTCAGTGACAATAGAGTCTTTTAATACAGACAAATTATTTGTCTCTTTCCTCTTTTATCAATCATCTAGAAAATATATATTGAAATTCTGACTGTTGATGTTGCCAAGGGCCCCCACCAATCGAGCATTACACATAAAAAGTACAGTTCTGGCTTGTCAACACTCCATTTGTTGTAGACTAATTCAATTTGTTTGTGGACATTGTCTGTAAAATATTTTCAGAGCAGGAAACTAGGTCACTTGATTCATTTTATAGCAAAGTGTACGATCCCTATAGCGGGTTTACAGACTTACCGGTAGTCAATTTTTATGTATACTTTTTAAACAAACGTTGTTCTTGACAACCTGAAAGCTTGCTGGTGTTGCCTGACATAGCAGCAAGTACTGTATGAAACCTGGGCAGGTTAACGGAATAAGTCGTCAGTAGGTCCTCAGGAAAGAAACATCCATAAATGACGCAAAGGCTCAGTGAAAGAGCAGTGATCTCGTAACTGGGCGGTCCCAGGTTCAAAACTACATGTATAAGTTGATGCGCTAGTGCCCTTCAGTAAGGCATTAATCCTTCAGAGAGGACTTCAAGTTGTTCCCTTATTGCTTAGTTACAAGCACACACACAAAACCATCAACCTATAATTATGATGACAACTTTAATTAGATACATTGTATACATTTACATAAGGGTCATACTGTAGTAAACAACTTTATTGCATCTACAATTTAACAGCTATAAAAGTCTCTCCTCGAAATACTACCGAAATTAGTTCACATAATTATATTATCATTTATATCATAAGAAAATGTCCTTGAAGTGGAGAAGAATGATACACATGCACAAGCCACATTCATATATACCTTACATGTATGTATTCTTGTATTGTGTTAATTCTGTTTATGGCACTCTTCCAGTAAACCTGAACTTCCTCATGATGTGTTCGTAACCTCTTGCGTGCATGTTTATAATATAGCAACATTTTGATGTGTTGTTGAGTTCGCCAGGCCAGGCATCTGCCAGAGCATTGGGGGGAAAAGATTTAAAAAAATAGAATTTAGAATAAAACTATTAGTAAAATTCTTATTTGTTAAAATATTGATGGAAGAACGATAAGCAGCCATTATTGGGCTTATGAACTGATTATTTGCTCTACCTTTGTGTTCTGATCAGCAGTAGAATTCCAACGAGATTAGATTGTTTTTATTGAAAGTTAATTTCCTGGCACTTAAAATGATTATTTGCTTTATTGGAATGTAACTCATTTTTGTGGAGGACACTGAATAATTTTTTTGATATCAGGTAGCCTAATATCAACATGGCATGTGGGCGAAAAAAATGTGCGATGATTGGCATTTCATGGAAATTGAAGATCAAATAATTGTTTTAAAGTGCACTCCAAGGACAGAGCCCTCGTTTCCGCTGTAGATGAAATTTGTTTGGCCTGGAAGTTAGACCCGTCTTACAATAGAAATGAAATGAGAAAATCCTTTTGCTGCAAATTTGACGAGCCAATCTAAATACGCATTCAAGGTTGCCATTGTCGATACTTAACGCATGTACTGGTAAGTGTGATGCATTAAAAGCATTTCCATCATGATTAATGTTTACACTGCCAATCTCAATTGAGGGTAATTTCAATTATAGGCTAATCTCTTGGGGGAGAGGGGGGGGGGGGGGGATGATGCGTGATTTGCAGCGCACATCTTTTTTTGTGTGTGGATACGACATGTAACAATCCTGATTCTGGTCAACTTATATGCTTATTATAGTCTGGAAGGCAATGATCAAATTGTGTTGAATGAGTTATTTTCACAAATAATTTGAAGCCATCAAATATTTTGATGGCTGAAATATAGACATTACATGTGTGTGTGTGGCTAACATAAGAGGCCATTCTAATGTTCACATCAGGGCTCAATTTAATTTTTGTATCCACAGGGGCTATTCCCC